TGACAAGAATTCGTGGCTATGTATTTGAGTGTGATTAGTATACGGCGCGAGTTTGTCAAACGTATAATACATCATATAAGAAAAAAAGAAGAAGAAAAAAAACAGTACTCGCTTAATTTTTTGTAGAAAATGCAAAAGGAGGAAAATCGTCTACGCCTTTAGGATCTCCACATACACTAACACTAACAGACAGACACATACATACACACACACATACACACACCAAATGAAAATAGACAAAAGCCCCACACATGCACGTCCACACACACACACACACACACACACACACACACACACACACACACACACACACACACACACACACACACACACACACACACACACACACACACGACGACGCATATCACTTCTAAAAGCAAATTCCACGCATGTGCCAAGGAGCAGTGTGGGGCCAGTTCGTCCTCATACAAACAACAACAAACTCTGCCAGGCACTTCCTTCGTGATAATTCTAAACTTTGTTCTTCCGACACTTAAAACTACTAATATTTATAGTTGGAGGGAAAGGGAGAGAGGGAGAGAGAGGGAGAGAGAGGGAGGGAGAAGGAGAGGGAGAAGGAGAGGGAGAGGGATGGGGAGAGAGGGGAGAGAGGGGAGAGGAGGGAGAGAGAAAGAGAAAAAGAGAAAGAGAGAAAGAGAGAAAGAGAGAAAGAGAGAGAGAAAGAGAGAAAGAGAGAAAGAGAGAAAGAGAGAGAGAAAGAGAGAAAGAGAGAGAGAAAGAGAGAAAGAGAGAAAGAGAGAGAGAAAGAGAGAAAGAGAGAAAGAGAGAAAAAGAGACAAAGAGAGAGATAGAGACAGAGAGAGAGATAGAGACAGAGAGACAGAGAGATAGTATGAGTAAGACTAAGAATACGAATAAGAGGAGAAAAGGAAAGACCGAAAAAAAACAAGTAAAGCCCAAAGAAGGCGAGGAAGGTTCTTTTCCCACCCGATCCCCCACACTCACTTCCCGCTCTCCCACAGGCGAGGGCCACGCAGCCGACGTGGTGAACCAGTCGACGCCGAAGGATCCAGCCGCCGACTACGCAGCCAACAGCGGACACAACCCCCCCATTAGCACTGCGGGGGTCAACTACCATGGTCAAGACGACAGTTCCTTGCAGAAAAGTGTTCGTATCGATTACTTGTTTGTTTTGTAATCTAAATTTTTCGAAAGTGCATTTCTTTTTTGTTCGGATGATAGTAAAGTGTCTGATTTCAATGAGTATTCATTTGAAGATGTTTCACATTCTAACTTCTTGGATGAGAGTTTTCTGTTTTTTTTTTTTTTTTTTTTTTTTTTTTTTTTTTTGCTTGGCGCTTACTGGTGGCAAACGTATTTTAAGGATAAATATCATACTTTCAACAGAAAAGCCTTGTTATGCTGTTTGTAATCAAATCGAAAAACATAAGCTTGGTGAATAAGCAAGGGTTTTCTTCTAGATATTAGAGATTTTTTTCCCCTAGAAGTAATACCTGGAAAGGCGTGATCCTCATCTCCGTGCCTCCCTCACAGAACGCGGAACAGCCTCCCACGAGGCCGCAGCAAGACCACCGCGAGCCACAGCACCGCCGAGCACAGCACCACGAGCAGCGAGGACCACCGCTCACCGCCAACGCCTGAGGCTGAATCAGACGAGTCTTCGGACGCAACAGACACAAACACAAACATTCAGAGAAGACTCAATTTCCCGCGAACCATGCTACCTTTAAGCTCTCTTGTTTTCACGACCCAAACTGCCTTCCAGACCTCTTTCTTCCCCTACGACCCGAACTATCTTCAAGCCCTCTTCACCACGACCCAGACTACCCTTGAACTATAATTTTCCACAACTTAAAGTACCTTCAAACGACATAATGCAATCACGGGGAACGACCGCTTGGGCAGGAGCAGGAGATTTCGTCAGTTGGCAGTTTGTCGACTTCCAATGGCATTTATTGTGTAAAGATCGACGTTTTTCTTTTCCTCTCGACGGGGAAATTTATCAAGAGGAAAAAAGAGTTCTCAGTGGATTAGTACTGAAAGCTTTCAGATCTTTCTCTCTTTTGTACTTTGTATAGAAACCCATTCGAATACAAATCCCCCCCTCCCCCTTTTTGAGAGATGTATATATCCCAGAGAGCAATTTGAAAGCGTATCCTAAGTGGTAAATGCTCTAAACCCGCTGGATACTCAGTATAATGTGTGTCCATCTGAGAGATACTGAGAACTGGGAGAAAAAAAAGAGAAAGCGTTTGGAGAAAGATGGGAATCGAGCATAATTGCCAGTTAGTGCAAAGCAGGTCTTACAATATATATATATATATATATTTAAAACACATGTATAGAATATATTCCTTCGTTATGTTTACTGTTGGTTGAATAAAATATGTCTATGTATGCTATATTTAGTTACTTCCATATAAAAAAAAATAATGGTAGATTTTAAATAGCAACATAAGAGTCACGGGATATCACAAGTCTTGGTGTCAGGCGCCCTGTATATACAGTCCCTTTGGTC